GATATAATTGACTTGGTCACACCTGCAATCCAGGAATCCATGTCAGGTCATGCCACTTGTAATCGCAAAATATCACACCCAAACACCCGAGTAATCGAGGTGTGATCAAGTCTTCACCACCCTCGTCACGTGAAACAATCGAAAAATCTCTGATAAATACCAGTTCGCCTGCACCTCTAACGTGGTAGTTCGCGCTCAATCATTTCGTGTTGATATGCTAGTTACGGTGATATTCGTACTAAGTTTGATATTTCCCAGAAATCACCATTTATTTTTTCGCTTTAAATATCTCCCAAATAAGTAGTGCTGCCAAGCACTGGATCTAATGGTTAATGTTAAGCACAGCAGTTAGTATGGAGTTGTATTCTCTTTGGGTAATTGGGCGAAATTTTGGATGCTGGGATTGACTGAAACGTGTTATGATTTTCTGAGATAAATCTTGTTGTAAAATCCACGCTAGATTTCACGGAAGTAAAGGTTGGTTGCTTATTAGGGGTGGTGGACCAGAAATACTTCGGTGGACAACAGAACGCTGCAAATTGTGAGACTGGACTGACCATCGCGCGCGATTTAACGGCAAGTCGGACTTCGTCAATGCATCCACATTCATTTACTTCGGCAGGTGTTGCTGCGCGTAGGTTGACCAAGGAATTTCATGATCTGATCTACTGCCTTACTCCCGCTCTACGTAGCATCCCAGCAACGAATAAACCAGGCGAGTGAGCAGGTAGAGATCGTGTCGACTGTTGGAAACTAAAAATGCAGTGTGCTCAAGTAAGCGCAAGCGCACGGTTTGTGCGTAAACCTATTCCCTCGAAGGAGACCCAAACTCAATACATCGTGACTATAAGGAGCCTAGAAGTACGGCAGACACATGAATGGCAGAACTGATTGAAGACCATGAATGACGAAAAGCGTAGTGGAAGCACTAAGCATGCGTTTCATGAGGCCTCAAATGTCTGTCAAGAATTGCCCTCAAATCTGCACTGTGTCACAGCTCCTGAAAGTAATTCGTGTTACCCCTTACCTCAGCTACCTGTTGACGTCAAACAATCGTCGATCGAGAGCCTCTTCAAGACCAACGACGGCGATATGGAATACCTCCTCTTAGTCTCTGCCACTGCCTCAAAGTGGAAGATGTTGCTACAAATGAGCTACCAGCCAATTGGCTTAATATGACGAAAAGCGTAGTGGAAGCACTAAGCATGCGTTTCGTGAGGCACCAAACAATGCACTTAGAGGCACAATCGATTACTACACGAAGTGTCTTCAAATGTGCCAAATCTTAACCTTTAACGGCACGTGAACGAACACCACCGATTATCGGGGTGACAGGCAGGGCCGCATGTTTGCACTGGTTTGCAGTATCGACTAAAAGCATTGAAAGTAGCGTGTTGCATACAGATTTGATCAAAGCTGCAGCGTTTGTTTTAGACTTGAGCTCTCATGCGAGTTTTTAGTGACAGTAGACTCACAAATGCAAGTATTGCGATGTTGCAAGTACACAAGAAATTGCTGATTTAATTGGAAAACTTAGCGTTTGTTGACGTTTATCACTTCGACGATGTTTAAAACCAAACCCATCAGATTTGATGCGCATTATGCTAAAATGTCACTCCCACAGCCAACTTCGCTAAGTTCCAATTTGAAACGTTAAATGCAGGATCATTCAATATTGCGCCGTTGAATTGACCTACAGAAATGAACTCATCAAAGAAAGCTGTGTGATGCAATAAGACGGACATTTTGGTTGACGCAAAGACTAGTTAACATCACCTCAAGAGGTCAACTTGGGCTTATTGTTATCCAAGGAATTCGACGATGGAAATAGGGGCAGTTCTTTTTAACTATCCTCGGAATTCGTCGACAGAAATTGAGGCAGTTTTATTCACCACTACCTCCATTAGCAGCAAATTTACCAGGTGGAAATATATACTTTATTCATAAAAAACTTTAAGTCGAAACGTTCAATTCCTCGAGTCGTGAGGTGCCAAATCTCGCGTGCCCTAACACCTTGCTACCGGCGCACAAGAGCACGCCCGCACGACCAAACACTGATCAGCCAATGGCAGTGGGGATTGGCTGTCTTCAGCCGTCTGATTGATCCTCGTCCACCACGAGATTGATTATTGCTCTCTTGCAGTCAGTTTTGTCCTGTCTCCTTTCTGTGCGGGTGTTTGCACAATGTCGCTGTCGACGTCAGTACGCAAGGCTGCCAAGTCAGGCTCACGGCAAAAAAAACGTGAAGCAGCGAAACGAATACTGCAGTTGTCTTTGAGCAAATTTGCCAAGACTAAGAAGTCAAGGAGGGCATTGGATTTGAGGCGCGAATTGCTAATCGCCTACACGGTGTGCAACTCTCTTCGAGTCTTGGAAGGACGAGCTGGAAGAGCGCGGCAACCACCACCACCACCGATTCGTCCATCTCCTCAATGCAGGTATCCTCCCGCAAAGGCAGCTTCTTCTTCACGACACCAGCAGTTCAATGTCTGTGACATTTCCAAATTATCCATCACTGACGAAATGGATGCAAGAATTGAATCTGATGTGCGCAGCCATTCCGTCCACAGAGATGCTGCAGTACGCTCGAACATTGCTGTGTCACAAAAACACATTTCGTCGCGTCCTCCACGTCCTGGATTGCCCAATGACCCTCCAATGAGCCACTCAGCTGATGCACATGAATCGTCAAGTGGTAAGTCGACGTATCTATGCAAGTAGTTTGGTTGTGAAATTCTTTTCTCCGCAAGTAGATGTCGCGACGACTGATCGCATATCTGCTCTTGAACAGTGCTGGCCACGATGTGCCACCTCAGATCAGATTAGGCGCTTAGTTCTGTTCATTGAAATTCATTACCTACGAATGACTGGATGTGCATTAGTTAACGTGCGATTTTGGACACGAATTCCACGGGAAGATTACGTGTTCGTTAATTTTGCTTTTAGGATTGCAATCCTACTACAATTCTGTCCAATTAAATGTTGGCCGATGGCTAGCTGCAAAGTGTTCGCCATCATGAAAACACCATCCACCTCTAAATGACGACTCTGTGGACTGTGGCATTCTTTTTGCGTAGAGGCCTTGTATTAAAAGTTATGTTTTTCGCACACGTATTGGCTCCTATTGTTCTGAACAATACATCTCTTCAATATGCAGGTTTTGTTTTTTCCTTGATTTATCTGGATAATTGATGGTTGACAGATTGAGGTGCAACATTCGTCGTTTTGCAGTCGAAACGCTGCTTGAGAGCATTTGTAGATTTCAAGTCATTCAACCAAGTCAGATTCTACCACTGAGGAGCATTACATAAGGCGATAGACTAAGCGGTGTAGGGCAAAGGTGAAAGATCTTCAGTAGATTGTTGTCTAGAGAATTTTTGTAGGGGTGAAAATAAGAGTGTTGCATATGTGCAGTTGAATCTGCAAATCGAGACATTCTTCTCAAAATGACGATGACATGAACGCTATCAGGGTGCATTTTCTGTATATCATGGACTGCATTCGTTCTGATGATTGCCATTATGTGCGTCCGTGAACACTGAAGCTGTTGGCTACCACCAGCTACATTAATCTGCTTTCTACGACCACACCAGCCATCCCAATGCACACTGCTTCGTGAAGTCGTTTTATCCTGCTCAGGTGAGAACTAAATATGTGCTCCTTGTGTAGATCATGTCTGCTTCAATTGTTCTGCGATTTATTTTTTTTGACAAATGAACTTTGTGCGGTCTTTAAACTATCAAATGCGGTTATTAGTTGCTTAGATTTTAGGAAAAATAACTTTGATCAGATTCTCGCAATGACTAGCAAGTGAACTCAGATGGCGACAATGCTTTTCAAACCCCACTACTCGCACACTCACCAGTAGTTGTGAAAAGTGATGTCGAATATTACATTGAGCGGCTTGTCATGATTTGTGATCATGAGCGTCTATCTTTAGTGCTTGGGTTCGCTTCTTTCAAGGCATGTGCTCTACACCAAGGCATCCAGATCTCACAACACTTTCGCTTTTCGGATGCCCCAATTTAGATGCACAAATGAGGATGTGCTTACTTAAAACGATGTCCAACTTTTAAACTAAAAGTAGCGCGTTACCGCTATTGGCCGGCAAGCAAATTGCAGCCCATAGCGTGTGAAGCACGAGCATTTTGCGAAACTTGTTTGATGTTAACACCTGACGATTATGTAGTTTTCTTGATCACATTTGAAAGTGCGGTTGATATAGGTGGGATGCGTTGTGACACTGTGGCATATAATTCTAATCTCTGGTCTAACTTTTATCGTATTTCGCCTCAAGTTTTTCTGTTTTCTGAAACATTGTTGACCATTGTTGCCACTTGGTGTCCTTAATGCAAATGCTTTAAAGCAATTTATGAAGTCGATTTCTGGTAGATGCCGTTTAGTCATGAAAGAATCCTAATTATACCAAGCCAACCTTCATAATTGTGAGGTTGCCTTGTCTTTGCAACTCGAGACGTTAAGACACCGTCTCAATGCACGTTAGTCACTCCAGTCTTCGAGATCGCAGAGATCTCTTGTGCACCTGGACAAATCTGGTCAAGCACCTCCTACTACAACACCCCTTTCAAGCATCCAACATTTGGCCCAAATACCAGAATTTCCATTTCAACATTCGCTTCAGAGTCGAGAACTTTGCCACCATATTCTGTGGGACGCAGGACACCATTTTGTTAAATATTTTTAAAGGTAAATAAAGAAATAAATGCTTTAATGAAGAAGTTAACATCTGAACAACCATCACCATAACTATCATATCGATGCGAGCTGCGATATCGCTAATTACAGCGTTCGAGGCGCGAAAGCCCTAATATCTTTTAGCTTTTTTCCGATGGTGTCAGTTGACAATGGTGCGAATGACTTGTTCACACCCTGAAAAGATGGTTGATATAGCGCAATGTGTTGTGATCACAAGCGGCCTAACTTGACAGGGATCCGTGGATAGCAGGCGTGAGTGCATTGATCATGTGAAATGTTGAGTGACACATGGTGTGCAAAATTAGGATTTCGTTATCTTCAAAGATGGAACATGGATTTATGTAAATGTGCATAAACTAATTGACGACTGCAGTTGTTGACTATTGGAATTTTCTTTGGCTGCAGAATTCTCAATCTCTGAAGTCTTTATCGTCTATCCCGACACTTCCTGGACGGCATCCTTCTGCGACCTGATTTCGCACATTGAGTAGCTATGTGTAAGGAGCGTATAACACTAAGCCGTTGCTACGTTTGCCCGTAACAATAGAGAAGACCACTCAAATAACGGTACCAGATTCCATGCTGAAAAGCTAGAACCGACCTTTATAGGCTAATACCAGAACAAGACCAGAGCTCGTGATGAGAGCTGTATTCACGTCAGCCACGTGCGGTGTGCAGTCCGGAAGTCGAACAAATTCAAGTCAGGTTGACCTTGACTTGA